CCTATGAGGAGAGACTAAAATATCTAAACTTGTTTTCTCTGAATTATTAAGGGTATTGATAATATAGATCCAATAAACTTTTTTCTGTTTAGCAGTCAAAACAACAGGACAAGGGGTCATAAATTCAAATTTTGGCAGCATAGAAGTCATCTGCATAGTTTAGACAGTATTACTTTTCAAACAGGGTGGTTGGTTTTTGGAATGAGCTGCCTTTAAGGGTCGTGGAGTCAGAACATTTAACTGAGTTCAAGAAAAGATTGGATGAATACATGAGTAGTAAGGAGTGGTTACAGTTGAGAGCAGAAAGGAACATCCTTGATGGGCTAATAAGTTCCTTTTTGTCCCTTTAAAATTTCATGAATAATTTATAACTTAACTGGCTTACTGACTAGGAAAAGAGAGGCTTAACTTAATTCCCTTTGCTGCTCGATCTGAACATCACAAGATAAACCTTCAAACTGAAGATGAAATTGACAACACTCAGTGCTGAAAACAACATAGCATTATAAGTCATTTGACAGATTAAAACTTTGCCCTTCTGTTGGTTATAAATTAAACAATATAAATAAACATCAGAAAGAATTACTGGTAATTTGTGAAAGAGAAGATGTGACAGGTGGGTATAGCTAGTGGGTCTGATTTTCTAGTTCACGACTCCATAAACAAATAAGATTGAAAGCTATAAAAATTAGATTTTACCTTAGTAATAAATATATTATAATGAGGAATTTATGTTGAATTCTGTACTTCAAAGAGAGGTGGTAAATAAATTAGAAAATGGGGAAGACCTAGTAAAACAAATGTCACAATTCTCATATTATGGGAGACTGAGAATTTTTTCAATACTTTCTTATAAAAGTAGGAACTAAAAATTTACATAATATTAAAATTTGATTTAATAACTATGTTATGATGCCAAGTTTATTTGTATGCATTGATAATAGTAGTTTAATTAAATTTGCATTAAATTAAATGTGCACTTTGACCTACCCATAGTGAAGGGGTTAAATGAGCTTTGTGAATTTGAAAGCATCGACGAGTTCTTTGGATTTCATTTACTTAATGTAATTATTTGAAACTGCATATGAGTAAGGTAAGCTTTTTTTGTCTCAGTATGCTTAAAAAATAAGCTACTCTGTGGACTTACTTAAAAAGTGTTAGTGGTGAGTTAACTCTTCATTTAAAATTCAAAGACATAAACCCAATCTAAGACTGCAAATTATAAGTTAAATAACTACCAATAAATTTCCAGAAGATTAAATACATTAACTTCTTATACATCTTTTGAATACTTTTAAAATGATTTTAAATGTTAAGCTAAATTTCACACTCACCTTGAAGAATATCTGCAATTGTATTCAGCAAATAATTCAGAAATTCATGAGCATCTTGTTGCATGTAGTTGTCAAACAAATCTGGGGAAAAAAATAAATAAAACTGTTACTGACAGAAAATTATCATATCTGTCTTTTCAAATAGTACACTTTGTTAACACACACACACAGATATATATATCAAAACCTGTGTGATTTATTAAAAATACAAAATTGGTATACCTTTTTACTTGCTGGCTGATCATTTGTGACCCAGTTTACAATATTCAAGTGGCTTAAAACAAATGATAAACTTCCAAATGTAGACAAAAATAAATAAAGCATTAAATCAGTGATAATTACTCATGTACAACCATTTAATATTTCAAATAAGCATCTTAGTAAACAGAGAACCTGCTATGTGAAATCCCTCCTACAGCTGCATAAAGAATAAAAATTGGAAAAAAAAAACCTATAAAGGACTAAATAGCCACGTTTCATAGAGTTTAAAAATATGAAACTGATGTTTTTTAAGCAGGCATAGGAAAACAAAATTGCAGAAAATTAGATTTTCTTTGTAGGTAGCTGTGGGAATTATGTGGCTAGTACATATTAATCAGCACAGTAATGAAAAAAAAATGCCACTGTGTCAGAAGATAAATGCTAAATAAACTAATTATAAGATTATAAAGAAAAGAGACAAGCTACAGTGGTGTCGTTGTGGATTTTAGCATATCTATATTAACCCTTTCGAGATGGATCACAGGTGAAAGGCCATGTCATCTTGTTTGTTGACTCGCACTCAAAATTTTATTGCACTACTATTTCATGAATTTATGTCAATAACTTTGGTATCAAACTGTAGATTATAATTCAAATATTAGTATTATATATTACTCAATTTATTAATTTGAAAGTAAATATTAAAAAAAGCACAGATAAACATCTATTTTTGTATGTCACATGTTATGTTGAATGCAGCACTGGTTCAAATTAGATGTTTGTGAAGTCAAAATACTAAGTCTATAGTTTTGCACAAATTAGGAACTCAAATTATCGATACTGACAAGCTAGAATATAAAATAAGAGCCTCTTATCTTTTCAATTTGCTAAGATGTTGCTCATGTAATAAATCAAACACAGTGGCACCCTGCCCACCTCTTTCCATTTTTGGAAACACTCCCTTATATCCTCCATGTGCAAAATTTTTAAAGGCTTAGCAAGGTACATGAAGCAGCAACTGAGGACAAAGGTCATAACTAGAAGAGACAATTGTTTGCTTTACTTCTTTCATTACTGTTCTATGTGTAAAGAAAAATAAGTTTAACAACTTATTTCAAAATAGTGATAATCTATGTACATATATAATGCATAATAACTGAAATGTGACTGTATTTTACAAAATACTAGTCCAATAAAACAAAGCCAAGACAAGTTACTCTGCACAGACCAAAGGTAAATTTTATGTTATTTGATATGGTAACATGAGTGCATGTGAGCCGCATCATTGTAACTTCTGTATTGTTAGCTGGGCATGGCTGAACGGTCAATATAATAAAAATAATAAATATATACATAAATGTATAATGTTATGAGATTTAAGCTATTTAGTCTAAACATTAATGTTTTTGTGATATAATTTGTGTTCATTCTAGAATGAAAGAGGCATAATTTATATTTATTTCCCAATTTTTATGGTGATTGTGAGATCGGCGAAATCTACAGAACCCGAAGAAATATTAATTACTGAAAATAACAGATAAAATATAAAGTTTTTTCTTAAGAAACATATGATAACTACCTGGACATTATAAAGATTTCACATATGAAATTTCAAAATTTTCTGATGCATACAAGTATTTTTAATCTTAAAATGAATATTACTTTGCATGATATATAGGCAACATACAAAAAGAAAAAAAAGACATGAGAAAAAACATTGCTTTACAAACCTTCAGACTCAATAACAAAATTTGATATTTTGCATATGAAAGCATTGTAATGTTTATTTAAAATCTGCCAAATTTTATTAACATACGCTTACTAATTAAAAAGCTATAGCATGAAAACTATAACATGCTGAAAGAGTTAAGTAGAGCAGGAAATTTTAATCAACTACTACGAGTAGCAATTACATTGATTAGTGTTACATAAATTAATCGATTAACAAAATTAGGGTTTCATATTATTACTGTTTTAGATTATTCCAAATATCCAAGTAATTGAAATATTACCACCAAACTTGATTGTCCTAATTTCATTACTGGGACATAAGAAACAGCAGTGATCAGAGCAATACAATAGGCCCAGTACTAATATCTAATGACAAGTAAATTAATTACAATCATGCTTCACCAGCTTGAAAAAGGCATTCACATCATAAGTACTCATTACTTTAGTTTGCATTGTCAGAAGGCTCTTGTAATGCTCTCTTTGTTTTAGGGTAGCTTTAATGCTTTAGTCATTAAATTGCATGGTACTTTATATACAACCTATGCATTTATACAGCCATATGTGAAACTGGACACTACCAGAACAAATAGGTTAAAATAAACAAAATACATAGCACATACCAACTGGAAATCTTAAATCCATTTTTTATCTTGAAAAATCTTTTACTGAGAAGTTGCTTTTAACACCTTGTTCACTTACTTTTCATAAAAGGTTATAAAGTGTATATGACTATTAGTTTTTTCCCTAATTTAATACTTTTAACATAAAAAATGTCTAAATGAAAAAACTTTCAAGACCTAATCAACTAATTCACCTAAGAATTAATAATTACATAATGATTGTGTGAGTTTCTTTTGGTGTAAAACAAGATTCAAAATTTAGAATTATTCATCATTTTCTACATTCTAGGTTGCCCAATTCAAAGTTATAATTAATTCCAGCATAAAACAAAACTTTCAAGAACCTTTTAGCACTGTACATGTCCAACCTATAATGAAAATAAAATTTTGCCACGGTGCTTTATATAATGATTCTTTAGCCTAAAATACATATTTATTATCATTAAACTCCTTTAGTTTGCTTCTTATTATTTTCACCTGTTCACTTGTATTTCATATCTATACAAAATTCAAATTATGACACTGGTGTTGTATTTGTAATTGTTGTACATTTCATTACATATGCAATACAAGACTTAATTGAATAAAATATAAAATTTTTTATTTGATTCAGACAACTGACTTTCAAAAAATATTTTAAGATTTCAACAAAAGATGTATATTATTAAACATCTACAAAGTACCTGTTATATTTTATCACATTATCTCAAAACTGCATTATTTTAAGTTGTTTCAAGGTGCCTCAATAACAAATATAGCACCTTCTAATAAATACTGGTCTATTACTACCACTTTATGTGAGAAGATCACAATACTTAAAAAACAGATGTTATTTCATGTTTTTTGAGAATATTTATCAGAGTAATATAAGATATGAAGATACAGAAAGGAAGAAAACTGCTATTTTCATTTTATGTTGAGTAATATATATAAAAAAAGTTGTTTTTTATATTTTGTAGCTCTTCAAGGTGAAAATCTTGATTACTTACATTATCATTCCCAAAAATGAGAAAACATACTAAACATCTGTAGTAATATATTAAACAAAAGTAGCAATAGCTTTACAAAAACTTTCTTCAAATTTCACTGTGCTTTTTTCCAAGTTTTGTGATCTTAATTGTTTAAACAATATATAAACTTTTTAAGGTTCTGAGAACATCAAATTTATTAAGATTATTTTTTATATTTCAATAATAGTGTAATAATATATTTCTTTATATGAGCAAAAACTGTGTATACAAAAATGTACGTTAAGTTTTGTAATTTTACAATAAAAAGACATTATTTAAACTTGAATAATTTTAATCTTTACAGCTTATCACATAAAATTCAAATTCCCTCTTTAGCATGTGTCTGGACAAGGTTTGATCTAAAGCTAATTTGACTGCTAAAACAAAGGTCACTTCACACACATTTAAGGTTTAGAAATTCACACAAAATTACTCTTAGTACAAGAAAAATAATGTTTACTCATTTCTAAAAATGGTACTGTGAAGTATATATATATATATATATACAAAGCACAAAATTCTGTGTGTCTGTCCATTGTTTAACTACTCCAACATATAGGTAACATATACAAGCAGGTAACAGAGAGCACACCTACCACCACTAATTTGGCCACTACCTCTTCTTACAAAGTCACCCTGATCATTGCACAATGTGTACCATGTTTAAAGTATATATATAGTGAGTTCTTAAAGGCTACAAAACGTTTGGTGAGATAATAATGTATACTCTAATGATATATTATGTTATAAATAAATTGTGTCAAAGGAGTTTTGTTATTTATCATAGCATCCACCTCCACATTTTTTAAGTTTATAACCCAGACAAAGGATGGGTATTGTCATGATATAAAAGACTGTTTGGTTTAAATATTAGTGATTAATTTATATATTTGTGAGTGAATATTTTATTATTCTTAAGTTTTGTTATAATAGGAGTTAAAAGCAGACGATTGTAAAAAGTTTTGTTAATAACTAATTGGTGTCGAGAATATAGAAAGTGGCCAGATGATTATGTAATAAAGATATTAATAGCATGAGATGAGTGGGAAGCAGCAGACAGACAGTATTAGACAGATAAAAGCAAAGAGAATATACTTCGTGTGAAATTAAGTAACATAAAAGTGATAAGCCTAATAACTGACATAGGCTTAACGTTTAATATGTTAGAGTGAAACTAACAGTATAAAAAATGATAAGAATAATAATTTTATTCTTTCAAAGCGTGGTTCTAAAGTAATTGAATCAGCCTGGGTACACTTTGACAAAAGGAACAGAGGATCTTCAGAAGAAAGAAGATCAAACGAATTATGGTAACTTGCGCAACAACTGTAACTGTAAGTGAAACACACACAGAATACTAGTACAATAGTAATATAGAGAATATAGTTCTACTTGTCAACTGAAATTCTAATGTAATTGAACAGGCCTAAGTGGACTTTTGACAAGAAGAAGAGAACTATATAAAAATAGTATTTATGACATGCCTGTAATCTCTATAGTGTGAAGACTTTGTTGTAAATATGTTTAACTTGTTCCAAATACTTGAAAACAAGTAGTGTGTGCTGCTTATTCATCACTGAATTTATTGCTAACAAGTCACAGACACCTACTGTAGAAGAATCCTAAGCCCAACAATAACATAGTATATATTTATACCATTAAGAAATACAAGTAAAAGCCATTTATTTTGACAATTGGCAAAAAGAACTTTAATATATATATATATTACTTTTAAAATCTGATAGGTACATCAACTTGTATTTTCATATTTTGAACCCTTTCAGAAATTTAAAATTTATATGAACAAATCTTTTTCCAAACAAATTAATAATATATTTCAGCTAAATATCTAGCAAATTTCAATCCAAACATTAAAATTACTTAACTTTTTGAAATATTAGAAACATATAAAGCAATTTTTATTTTTATAATTTTTTGAGGGGGGGGGGGAGAAGGTCTGCAAGTGCAGATGATACCTAAACTGATTCCTTCTGGAAAGGTTACGTTAAAGACTTTCCAACACAAATTTATCCTCTTATGTAATTATAAAAGTGTGCAAGACATGTAGTTTTAGTGCTTCAAAGAAATTGATATCTGTAGTATTGAATTATATCAGCAAAGCAACAGAGTGTACAATTCCATTACGAAAAGAAACAGGCTACTCCACACTTTCTTACCATTTGTGAACCAGAGGTAGTAAAGTAAGTTATATAGGCTACTACCAAAAGTAACCCAAAAACACAGTGAAGGAGCATGTCTAATTAACCCTATCTGAACCATAGAGCACTTTTCAGGTATCAAGTGCAAAGACCTGCAAATCACATTTCAAAATTCAAGTAAAAATAATATCATGGGCATTCTTACAGTCCAGAAAGGGTTAACTATCTGCAGAGGTTCAGGCAACTTACTGTTGTCCAACCAGTGATACAACATTTTAGAAATTGTACAGAAAATGTCACAAACGTTTTTTGAACAGATTTGTGGTGGTTGCAGGTTACAGCTATAATGTTAAGTTAAACAACAAGAAAATTGGTATAAAAAATGCCAAGGTTAACATGTTGACACTACTATACCATGAGAACATACCATCTTTATATGGAACTGGATACCAGTAAGGTATGGCTTCCAACAAAACAAAGCATCCAATCACTTGTCCAAATCAACATGCCAGTTCCTCTACAAGATGCAAGTTGAAGCAATAATTTATGCAATATCAATTGTAGACATCTCCCATGGACATCTGTGCCTCTGGGTTGTTCATACAAGCCTTCAGAACTCATCAACGGACCTTCAGAAATTGTTATTCATACATGGTTGTTGGAGTTTTGAAAAAATGGGAAGAGGCATTGATTTCAAACTAAATTGCATGCCTGAGCAACATTCAATGACAAGAGGCATCATTCAGAACATCAAAGGTAGTAGTAGTAGTGTTAGAATAGGCTGTAAAACCTAGGCATCCATCCTTGTATCATTGCCATGGATCATAAATACTACTTGAAAAACTCACTTCCTTAAGTATAATATTTCAAAAGTTACATAAAACAGATTATTAATAAAATAATAGTTAATAATTTTACCATTTTCTTTTCTTAACCTGGCAATAAATTTCTTCGGAGCTATTGTTCCTGTCTTTTTCTTCTGAGTAGCTATGTTGTAAAAAAGATCTGCAAGGCAGGTGAGCAATGTTTCTTTGGTTCTTTTGTTTTTTGCTTTATAGTCTAAAACCTTCTCCCTGAAAGGTTTACAGAAATACAGGGCCTGAAGCACAGAGTTGCAGTAACAAGTGTTACCAAACTGAAATAAAAAAAAATATATACAGTATTGTGTCTTATTGTTGAATGAACTTTTAAAATAATCAACTTTAGTACATGTATAGTGTTTACATCTTAAATCTTCATATTGCATTGAAAAACACCCAACTGGATTGTACACAGGTATTATAAAATATAGATTGTATTATTAGTTTAAGATCTTCAAGTTTTAGGTACTTTTATATTTTACTTATACAATACATAAATGCATTATTACTGTACTATTTCTATTCATTTATTATTACAAAATTATCTTCTCACACTTTTTCATGAGCAAAGTAATTCAAAAAACTAAATTCAAAGACCAAAAAAATTATGTAGAAAATTCTAAAAGCATAAGACTATGTAAATAACAACTACACTTCTTTCATTTGTGTGATAAAATTCAGTATCATTATTTTCAAAAATAGTACATTTCATCACATTTACCATAGAAATTAAGTTTTATCTTATTGGACCAGTTTTTGTTGTACATCTAATCTATTAAAACTGCAAAAACACCACCTTCATGTAAGCATTGAAAATTCAATGATAGTTATTTGAAAACCATTACTAAACACTATGTAACTTTAGATCATATTCTTTTTGAGTTATATCAATTTAATAATAAAAATTAATAACTATGCATCAGTTTAGACTATTTTCAGATTTAGTGTACTGTTTACTCTATAATATCAGGTACTTAAATTATTTTAAAAACAAGATATGAGATTGTTAAATCTGAAAATGAGTCATTTGCAAACTGCATGTAGGTAAGATTGATAAGTTTGTTTGTTTGTTATGGATTTCGCGCAAAGCTACACGAGGGCTATCTGCGATAGCCGTCTGTAATTTAGCAGTGTAAGACTAGAGGGAAGGCAGATAGTCATCACCACCCACTGCCAACTCTTGGGCTACTCTTTTATCACCGAATAGTGGGATTGACCATCACATTATAACGCCCCCACAGCTGAAAGGGCGAGCATGTTTGGTGTGACGGAGTCGAACCCGCGACCCACAGATTGCGAGTCGAGTTCCCTAACCACCTGGCCATGCCAAGCCAGATTAATAACAATCAAGAATTTGTAGCAAGAATTAAGCTTTTCTTCAGAAATCTGTAATGCAAGAAAATACAGCACTAAAATGTTACTTCAAAAGATGAACAAGTTTACCTTCACTAGCTTGCAATGATCTACTTAAGTGTTGAATCAAAGAACATTATTTAAAACGACTGTTTGAAATTTTAAGCGAATATTTTTCAAAATAAATGTAATATTATGAATGAAAAAAGTAATTTATTTGTATTTCTTGTAATTATGGATAAAAAGCTTATTATAAAACAATTGACTTTCTTTGTAATACTAGAGTATCTATAAAATTTCAAATAAAACCCAAACAAAACTTGTTACTTCTTTTACTAGTAAGTTTTGTTAATAGAAAATTTATGAATTTGCTTAACACATACATAACTCTACATTCATGTAGCAGCTAGGTATTCACTTAAAATGTATAGTACCATCTGGATTTACACGTAAGCAATTAATTTCAGGTTTCTGTCCTGTTTATACTGAAAAAGTAGTTTTTCATCCATATGCTTAAGTAATGTTCTGACTTAAAATGAGCAGCCAGCTTATATTTTATGCACACGAATTACACATAAATCTTCAAGCTATGCTACCACATTTAAAACTCATAAAATCTTACCTGCTTATATATTTAAAAAGAAATACTAGCATTCAATATTTTGGAGATAAAAAAACTGCTTTAGTAATTTGTCAAAACTTTTTTGTTACCACAAAATGTGAACAAATTAATACTCGAGGTGTAGATAAAATTAATAAGATACATTTCATAAAACTTATGAAACATACAAAATTTAATATCCTCCTACTGTACTGAAAAGTGCAGTATTTAGGTACAGTGACGTACCACAGAAAAGCCAAAAACTCCCACAAAATGCAGGTTTAGGACAGTTAAGCAAATGATAAAGTGTACAAGGACAATAAAGAAAAACAAGAAAACACAGATAAACAGGCAAAGTTATTCAACAACGAGTAGGAGAAACAAGTAGAATTACTAAACAATAAGTCAGAGAACATCAAGATCCCACAAAACTTCTTTATCCCAAACAATTTGCCTTAGCTGAACACAAATATAACATTGATTATAGTAATATTTTCATCAAATTTAATAAGTATATCGTGTTACCAAGAATCATAATTTAGAAAAATTTCAAGACTAATATTTTCACTAACACTGGAAGTTTCACTTTCCATTCAATGAATGTTTATGTTTATAAATGTTCTACACATTTTCTTTCAGTGAAAAAAATACAACAAAAAAAACTATGTATGATGATATATCTAACTTCTTTTCTTCACTTTACATCATTAAATTTTTGTCTCTTGTGATGTTAATTTTTCTTAGTAATGGAAACCCCCACTTTACAACAGCACTTCTGAATGTTTGTTTGAAGATTATCTGATAAGATTAGTAAAATACTGCAAGATTTCACAAAGTACATGTAAAAAAACACAGGTGGGATAATCTCCTACTATAGAAACATAGAAAATAAATATAAGGATTTGCTTACAACTACAACACTGCCATAAAATACTCACATTCACAAGTCCAAAATAATGTTCATTGGATGGAAACTGATCTTGGCCTATTTCCTTCTCCAACTGAGAAGCATTTGCTCCCTTAGAGAAAGAAAAGAGAAAAATTATATGCATATATACACACACATGCACACAGAGGTTTTGGAGGCATTTGTCATGTGGGAAGTGACTAGGTGAGGTGCAGTTTTATTCTTAATATGAATAAAGACTTAACTGGCCAAGCCTATCATTCACTTTAACACTATTCTTTGCCAACTTAACCTGTTGTGTGTAAGAGTTAACATTAGTTCACCATTGTATGCATTGACAAGTGGATTTTTTGCATTATTATCTTGCAACAAGCAGGGTTTATTTGTTCCATTTCAGCAGGGGCTAAAGGTTGTTTTTATTGACATCACAGTTGACCAAATTCTTGGTAGTTTCCAATTCATGATGCAAGATTTACTATATGTAAATAAGACCAACCACAAAATTAGAAGAAAAACATGAGTTCAGTATAGATGTCCTTTCACAAGTATAAATTACACAAAACCAAGGTGAAGGCTGGAATTTTTTCACTCAGAGACATGAATAAAACAGACTGGCATAACTGTATAAACAAGTATTTTTGGACAAGACTTCTCAGTAAAACTTACTGGCAGTCTTGTAGCATTTCTATACATTATATAAATATAATAAAATTTATGTTTTCCTAATTAAGCCCCTGTACACACAAACACACGTGCAACAGATATATATATATATATATATATGTAATACATGTACACACGTCACTCGCCAAACATAGTAGTATGTTTTTACGATATTCCTATATAAATTTTACATACAAAAAAAAGCACAAGATTTTGGTGCAAGAATGTATAGCTTTTGGGCCCAGCAGACTAAGAATGCTCTCAAACTGGAATAATTTTATCATATTAAATCTTGTTTATTTCATTATTAATGCACTTCTGTAATATTTAAAAATATCAGCAACATTATATTTTAGTTAAATTTTAAATATAGGTATTTTAAGTAAAATAGTGCCTTTCAATAATGCTGTAATTTGTATAAAACAAGATTGCTTTACACTGCTTGAACATTGCTTTAATTTGTACATTGGACCAGTAATTCCCATGTTAAAAGCAGTAAATCACAGTGGGTTATTAGCTGTTTCTAATAGAGCTAATGTAAATATCAAGTGGGTGTGAGGTTTCATATTACACATGCTTGAGCTAGAGTAATTTGAATTGTTTTATTTTACTGAAGTTTTATTAAGCTAATTTGAAAAGATTATAAACTTTACATTATAGTTACATGTGTTAAAAAACATATAACAATAAATAAAAACTATACATAAAAATATGAATTTGTAGTACTCACTGTATATTTGAACAGTTTGTACTCGAGTATATATTCTTCTGTAAGCCTTAATGAATCTCAAAAGTTTGGGTGTCCAAAAAAAAAGAATTCATGTAGCTTTCAAATATGCATTTCACACACAAAAAATAAATCATTCATGAGAATAACATCTTTCAAACTACTACAGTTTACCTGCCTTTCTGAGTGAACTGTAATTAGGTTTAAAACTTGCTTTAGTATTAACAGCAGTAACACATGATCACCACAAACCAAACACTTCCACTGCGTAATGTTTGATAATATGAATAAACAAAAACTTGTAAGATTTGTGCAGGGGAAAATCTACTTTTTCTATTGATTAAACATGTCTTTCGGCCATGTAAAGTTAATTAGCAAACAATATCGAAAATAAGATAGAAAGGGAAGAGTCTTCTCTGGTTGGTTTGACAAAATTATTGATATCTCAGTAGATTAAGAAGGAAAGAGGTTCATATTTTAGGTTCTTTCTTGTAATTATACATAGTTTTTGTGTAATTGGTTGGAAACTGCAGCAGTCTATGTTTGATATTATAAAATTTGAAGATAGCTTTTATATGCGGAAAC